CCATGTACTCGTATCTAGAATTTAATTGGTTTCTATGTTTCCATCCAAGATGTAGAATTCTTTTAATAAAAGTCTTCTTGTTTTCTATTTCATCTACTTCCAATGATGAATTTTCAATTTCCAGTGATAAATTTCCTTGCTTTTTATTTACTATCTTTTGTTAAGATAACTGAAATTATTACATTTATTGTCATTATTGTTATTGTCATTATTTTTAAATATTAAAAAATAGAACACACATCATAAAATTTACCTTCTTTTTAACACAATCTGATTTTTTGTCTGAATATAACTTTTCAAGAATATCATGAAAACGTTTACGTTTTTTTCCATTGAGCTGTGAAACAGGTACATCTAAAAAAATATTGATTATTTTTTGAAAACGGTAGCCAAGTTATATAGCTATATATTATTCAAAATAACATTTTTTTACAATAATTATGAGTATAGTATAAAGTATATGATGTAAGATAATGTTATACAAACCTTTTGGAACGTTGAAATCATAAATGTCCACATTTGCATTTACGTAAATGAATTGAGCGTGTCTAATAGATATGTCTCCCCATCAATTTGATATGTCAAAGTCCCACCGTCAGAAAAATAATCTTTTAAGACATTTTTCTTCAAAGTATTATTTGTCACATATATATTCATACATTTCTCACCGTATCTAATTTTAATTTTCTTTGATTGTACAGAATCCATCTATAGAAATAATAATAATGCACGTTATAATTAAGTTGATATTTAAATTACAGTAATTTTCAGTATACATTTCATTATTTTAAAATAGCAATAAGTCAGAATAATTTTATGTACAACTATTTCTAATACATTAAAATACAAAAAAGAAAGGATTATTCTAAGTAGAACAGAAAGTCATGATAATGTCAAAGTGACGTCAAAATTATGAGAATATGACTACAAAATTCACCATTTATCATAATTTAATCATTTTTTAGACATCATTTGAGGTCACTTTGACATTTTATGACTTTCTATTCTACCTGGGATATATTGTGTACAATTTCGTTTTAACCTAAAAAGTTAACCTTAACTTTAAAAAACTTTGTATTTAATTCAATTAATTACCCTAAAATTTTTAAATTTCAAGATCTTTGTTGAATTAACAAATTTATCCTTCAAAAAATGTAAAGATCTACTCAAAATGTAATTTAACAATATTTACCTTAATCTCGAAAAGGAACGGCACCCAGGGTTTCGTTCCGCCTGGAATACACAGTGCTGTTCCTTAGGACAAAAAGTTTCTATAACACGAGGTGCCAACGTTATGGCGTACAGGCGCTTCCGTAGCATCGTCGTCGGGAGCGAGGACGCCCAGAGAATTGAGCGAGACCTGGGACACTTTCCCAAGGGGTCGGCGTCATCTTCGTACGAAGTTCCCGGGAAAACCGACTTCCCCAGGAACGAAGGGACGCAACCGTCTCCCGAAAACCTGGGATATCTCCCCAGAGGGTTCACGTCATGGTCCGGTAAAATCCCCGGGAAACGCATCTTCTCCGGGGACAAAGGGTCCGATCGTCTCACAAGGACCGGAGAGACCTCCCTAGGGGGTCGGCGTCATTGTACGACAAAATCCCCGGGAAACACGTTTTCACCGGAAACAAGAGTATCCATCCGTCTCGCCAGGACCTGGGACACCCTCCCAGGGGGTCGGCGTCGTGATCAGATGAGTTCCCCGGGAAACGCATCTTCCCCGAGAACAGAGGACGGAATCCGTCGTAGAAAGGGTAAACATCCCGTTTAGGGGACCCACCTCCGATGGCCTTGACCTTCACATATGTGGTCAAGGTCACCCTCCTGAGTGACCTTCAGAAGGTTTTAGTCGGGGATCGCTTTTAATTAAAAAGTTATAAACAAAAAAAGTTTCGAAAATATAGCAGTTATTTTAAGTACTGAGAGGCATAAACGACCAATATTACGTTTTTCTTTAAAACAGGGAATACTTTATTTCGCGAGAAAGTCGCTGCTTTACCAAAACACAACATTTAAAGCAGTAAATTGTTGATAAATTGAAGTCTTTTTGTTAAAGCAGAGAATACTTACATGGGTTAGATGACACGCTTTAAACAGTTGAATACTTTGAAAGCGCGTCATCTAACTCATGTGGCATCTCGCATATTAACTTTCCACGCATAAAAAGTTCACGCATACACTTTCCACGCGAACCGAGGTTCACCCACACTCCCCCCTGCTTTCGGGGGAGGTGCGGTAGCCCCGAAATAGTTCACGCATACACTTTTCACGCGGACCGAGGTTCACTCACACCCCCCTGCTTTCGGGGGAGGTGCGGTAGCCCCGAAATGGTTTACGCATGGGTTAGTTGACGCGCTTTAAACAATTAAATACTGTTAAAGCGCATCATTTAACCTATGTAGATTAGTGACGCGCTTTAAACAGTTAAATACTTGTAAAACGCGTCATCTAACCTACGTATTTTTCAAACTTTTTTGTTAATAATTTTTTAACGAATAACGATCGACGGCTAAAACCTTCTGAAGGTCGCTCGGAGTCATGACCATGACAACATATATCAAGGTCATTGAAATCGGTGAGGTCGCCAAACTTTTTTTTGTTAATAACTTTTTAATAAAAAGCGACCCCCGACTAAAACCTTTTAAAGGTCAGAAGGGTGACCTTGACAACATATGTGAAAGTCAAGGCCATCGGAGGTGGGCCCTCTAAACGGAATGTTTACCGTAGAAAGTCCTGGGACACCCGCCTAGGGGGTCGACGTCGTTGTCCGATGAGATTCCCGGGAAACGCACCGTCTCCGGAAACAAAGGCTCGGAGGGGCATTAGGAGCCTCCATAAAACTCAGCCAGGGTGTCAACGGCCAACAACCAAGATGTCACCCGGATGTCCTCTACAAGGAAATCACCCGGAATCATCATCAAGGGCATCTCCAAGGAGGTGCGCAGGGGTCGGCGCCATCGGCGTCGCAAATTTTCCGGGAGTGAAAACCTGTTGCAGCGGTGCCAAAACCGGAAGGTTCTCGCACTGCGTTGCGCGTGGAAATTTCCACGGCAACCCTCTGGAACGGGCGTAGAGCAAAAGTGCGCAAAAGAGCACGCGAGAGGGTTGTGAATATCAGGGTGTTTTCGCATGATCTTGCCAGATGTACGTGCCGCGAACAATAGGCGAAAAGTGAAAGTCCGGGAGTGGGAGCGACTCGGCATAAGTGGGGAGGCCAAGCGAGAGCGACCGCTCGAGGCAGTCTCTCGAGTATAGCCGTGGCAAACACACGTATCACTCTGTACTATCTGCATACGAGTTATATTTTACAACCGAGAACTCCCGCGTTAATTACGCGTACAAACATTGTATGATAGAGTGATGATCACTGCCAAGTGCGTGATCATAGTACAACAATCGCGGGGCACAGAGTTCTCTGACGGGATTAATTATCAGGAATGAAAGCATCGTGTCAACGAAACTAATAAGCCGAGATATGCAAATTAAATAATTGTGCAATTTTTATTGAATAAAGCGACATCCACACCGAGGCGAGAAACTCGTGTTGTGAGGTACCTTTATAACATTGTGAAACGGCCTGTAGTGTTGAAATGATGATCTGGAATTAAAGAATAATTAATTATGAAACAAAGTCTCCTGATTAATTATAAAAAATTATTAATACTTACCTTCTACTTACCTTGTCCTTCGGCGATGATCCAACGTTGTCCAGCGGCAATCCGGTGTGCGATGTAAAGCGAGGATCCGGGGAAGCACAGCAGCAGCAGCGGCGATCCATTCTGGGCGGGAACCTGAAAGAAAAGAAGCTTATTAGTATATAATTAACATAATTATCGGGACTTACCTTTATCTAGTATGCGATGTAAAGCGAGGATTCAGAGACGGGAAACAGCAACGGCGATCCATTTCGGGCGTCGATCTGAAACAAAATTGACATAATTAGTAGAATATAATTATGTTATCCATACTTACCCCTATCTGGTATGCGATGTAAAACGAGAATCCAGGGACGCGAAGCAGCAACGGTGATCCACAAGGGACATCAGTCTGAAACAAAATCCAATAATTAGGATATAAATATTTTATCCTTACTTACCTCTATCTGGTATGCGATGTAAAGCGAGGATTCAGGGATGAGAAGCAGCAATGGTGATCCATCAGGGACATCAGTCTGAAACAAAGAAATTCTATTAGCGTCTTGCGAATTATCGTAGCGTTGATGCGAACTTACCTTCTCGGTAGTCAGAGGTCAAACCGAGTGGCAACCGTTCGATAGGAATATTATCCGCCGGAATCGGGCTCACAACTTGTACCGTCCGGTCACAACCTGAACCTGAACCGTACCGGTAAACAGACTCGATCGGTGGCAAATGGTGCAACATATGCACCAGCAGTTCTGGAAAAAGTGGCATGACGAATACCTGCACACCCTCCAACAGCAACCGATGTGGTTGCAACCGGCACCTACGGTAAAAAAAGACACACTGGTTCTGGTAAAGGGCGAAAACGCCCCTTCCTTGCAGTGGAGGCGAGGGCGAATCGAGGATCTGCACCCGGGCCGTGACAGCTTCGCTCGGGTTGCTACGGTGCGGACGGCGGATGGCGTGCTCACCCGCCCTCTGGTGAAGTTGTGCCCTCTGTCTGTGGAAAACTCGCCAGAGGAGCCCACTCAAGTCTAAAATATGTCGTATTTTGGTGGGCGGGATGTTTGGCGTACCGCCATGTAAACAGCTGTATATACACATTAGTAATAAGTCGATTAGTTTTCTTTTCTTGTAAATTTTGCGCGAAACGTCGGCGGATCGCGAGCAGCAAAGCGTGCGACTCACCTATCGGTGCTGCCATCGCTTATCCGCTGCCGGCATCCACTCCCCCCGAAAAAAGAACAACTACTCGCCCGCGGCACATCTTGCAGGACCGCGAGAACTCAGTCAAACCATCCGATTGAACGGACTCACAGTCTGTACCCCAACGAGTCAACTTGCACCAAGCCGTCTCACGGCACACGCACACACCCCACACACCAGGGGTTTTGAGGAGCGCCCGGTTGCATGAACGCGACTTCTCGCCTGCTATCACTAGTGCCTGCTTGCTTGCTTTATCTTGCACGTGCTTGCTTTGCTTGGCTTCTGCTCTCGCTTGATTGCAACTGCATGCTGGACCAACCGAGGTTCCCGGAGCGACCACGAGGCCCACGAACAGGACGAGAGACCCGGCGAAGTCCAGGCGAGCGGCGCATCCCGGTGAGTCGCTTTTCGCTTTATAAGTACGCTGCATGCGCACATTTGCCATCGCGTTAAATCTTTGTTAGTCGTCAGGGAACTATAACACCCCCCTCTGGTCCTTTGAGTAACATTTTCGCTAAAATTTGCAAATCTTGCCTCCGGGGGACTGACCCCCCCCCCCCCCCCGTGCAGTTATGTTTCACTCTATAGGTAAAACAACCTAGCTTCCGAAACGCGGATTTAGCTCGCGGCTGGTCAAGGTTCGGAGTAGGCGCGGAGGAAAACACAAGACTCGAT